AAAAGAAGTTCAATCTTGATGGGCCTGATAGATGGGATTACTGCTGGCAGGATACCAGGAAGGAACAACCCCGGAAGGTCAGACGGCAAGCCGGCGGAGGAAGTGTTATGATTTGGGCCGCGTTCAAGCTCGGGAAGAAATCGCGGATGGCATTTCTAAGCGGTCGACAGGCTTCGAAGGACTACATTCGCACTCTTGAAGTATTCCTTTTGCCTCATATGGATGATGGAGATACTTTTCAGCAAGATAATGCCGCTATTCACCGTTCGAAAGAGACACAAAAGTTTTTCGCGGACCGGAATATCGCGGTTTTGGAGTGGCCGGCTATAAGTCCGGACCTGAATATTATTGAGAATGTTTGGGGAATTATAGCCAGAGATGTGTATAAGGATCATCGACAATTCGAAACCATTGCTGGCCTACAGGACGCAATAATCGACGCTTGGAACGAGATCACACCGGAAGTCCTCAAAAAACTGATCCAAAGTGTTCCGAGGAGACTCCTTTTAGTATTAGAAAATAAAGCAGGTCCCATTAATTATTAAAACACTGTATCCATCAATAAAATGCGTCTTATATATTACTAAATTAATTTTTTATTAAGTGCGTACAACTTTTCGTTCCAGCCGAAAACTGTTCCGGCTGCACAACTCGGGAACGTGTGCTCCAATTCGGATGATACAAATAATAAGAATAGGTGTTTTTAGATGCTCTTTATTGTATAAAAGTTTCATCCATGGATCACAACTCGTTCGTTAGATAATCGAAAAAAAGTGGGTGCGTACAACTTTTTGTTACGCACTGTAATCATTTTTTTATAAGCCTTCTCAAAGTGTAAATAGTTATAAATTTTACATTGTTTATACACGCATTAAGAAATGCTTATAACCCATATAAATAACTAAAATATATTTACTTACCTACATACTGGTGTAATACAAACCTATATTTTATTGTTCTATAATGAGTAATTGCAACAATTAGTTTCACTTAAAATTTCATGATTTACACTTTATAACACTATATCTGATTATAGAATTGCCTGAAATATATAATATGATTGGAGTTTGAAGGTTTCGAGGGTTATCAATACATAGGGGAAAAAAATTTCTGTAAACATTGAAGTTGAAAAATTGACTTTTGGCCACAAAACGCCGCTTCCCAGACCACTGTGCAGCCCCGTACGGACCAGGAAACGACGCTGAATCACGGAGTGGACAATTTTTGGAACCTTACAACCTCCAACTGTTGTCACCTCCAGCAAAAATTCAAGCCAGCAGCAGTGGGAAGATCGAGATCCACATCTTGTCTTCCCCATCTGCTATTAAAAGTTTCCAGAACTGCAGTCGAACGTTTCTCGATCACACGAGAAATGTTTAAGAATACAGTCCACTAACACAGTTGCGTATCGCTGTGAAGGAATCCCGCTCCTGTTTATCATAAACAGAGACAGGAGCGTGTGGATTGACGCGAGTCAGACAACGCGACGAGCGTTGTCACATATTTTCAACCAAATTTCGGTCTCTTTTGTTGCAGAAGACCGAGACGAGAGCCGTAGTGGCCTGAGGCGCGGCCCGGTTTCTTTTGGTGGTGGTTTATTTTTTTAAAATATAAATTTCTTATTTTTGTTTATTTAATTTTGGTTTTTTTTATTAAATTTCACATTTTTAAATAAACGGCCTAGTCACTTGACTAGGCGAAAGAAATTTGCAAGTGTACCATTCACTTTCCCACACATTCCCACTCCCTCGTAATTCGGACACCTCGTTAAAGGGTGAGAGCGACAATAACTCGCACCTATTTTAACACTAATTCAACTTAGAGAAATGATGAAGTCCATGAGAAATACGGAAAAACGAGCTGTGACACAGGCTATTGTTGTCTTTTTATTTAAATTGCGTATTGGAAATTCGAATAGTATGATAGCTTCAATTTTTGGGTTAGAGTGCGAACAACAGGTATCCGATTTTTGTAAAGCAGTTAGGAACTCGTTTGAAAAAGATATTTTACCATATCATTTCGGAGTCGCGGCTTTTTCTCGTCAACATTTAATAGAAAATGAAACGTCCATTATTGCTAAACAGTTATATAATATAACAGACCAGCTAGCACTTATTTTTGACGGTACATATATTCGCCACCAAAAAAGTTCTAACAACGAATACCAACGGAAATCATACTCTGGCCAAAAAAAAGTACCACTCTGCAAACCTTTTACTGTTTGCACGACAAACGGTTACATTATTGATATGCTCGGACCTTTCTATGCAAATCAAAATGATGCAGAAATAATGAAAATTGCACTTCAAGATCTGAATGGCTTACAGAGATTAATAAAACGAGGAGATATCTGTATAGTTGATCGAGGTTTCCGTGATGTACGATCATATTTAGAAGAATCTGGGTATAAAGTGCTCATGCCTGCTTTAAAAGGAAAACGCAATCAATTGACAACTGCAGAATCCAATGCTTCACGCCAAGTAACGAAAGTTCGCTGGGTTGTGGAAGCGATTCACGGCATCATTGGACAGAAATATAAATTACTGCACCACCAAATGGACAATAAGTTACTCCCCACAGTCGGGTTATATTGCAGAATAGCATGTTTTTTAAATAATACATTTGGAAAACGATTAAATTCAGACGTTGGACTCCGTGATGAAATAGTAAATAGAATGTCAAATCAACAACATATAGAAAATACATTGGCAATAGAAGTAGAGACAAACCACTGGAACAGAAAAAAAATACCATTTAATATGATATCTGCGACGGATCTTCTTGATTTCCCAGAAATGACAGAGAGAGACCTCAAAATTCTATTTACCGGATCGTATCAATTATCACAAGCAGTTTCATATTTAGCAGAAATAATGGACGAAGACAACAATATTCATATACATTCTTTAAAAGAAAATAACAATATAATTAAATTCCAAGTAAAATCACGCCATATTAATAGTAAAATGTATCGATGTTACATAGAATATATACCAAATTCAATTGGCTATTCCGGAGTGAAACGGTACTGTTGCGAATGCGCGAATGGTAATCGCACTATCGGGTGTTGTTCCCATATTGCAGCTATTATTTATTATTTGTCACATGCTCGATTCTTGTCGACAATTATAAGGCCTGCAGAGATACTTAGTAGAATGTTTAACGAGGAGCAAGTGGCACCTGTTATTAATGAAGACAGCGATGACGATTAAAAACATAAGATATGACTTTATTCAAGTTACCTAATGATCATGCAGATGAGTATTATTACAACAAAATTCATATATGTATTAAGTGTCAAATAATATAAAAAATTGTATTATTAATAGGGGTACTAAGAAGAGATGAACGATGAAAGCTAAGGACACCAGACATGAATTTTTATTAAATTCACCAAACAATCATGCAGATAAGTATTACTACAAAAAAGTCCATATATATATTAAGTATCGAAAAATATAAAGAATTGTATTATTAATAGGAATCCTCAGATGAGATACTGCGAAGAAGCAATGAAGCCACCTGAGTCTTGGGTTAAGCATTATGCATCACATTTGTTGAAATGTGGACATGTGTAATGGAAATGGATAATAAGAGAACAATTTCTCGTCTAAAATAAGTAATTTAGACTGCCAATAGACGTAAACATTCATAAACCTTGCACATCATAAATCTTGTCATCATGATATCCGTAACTATATGCAAAGACTGCTAATGTTCTTTTTATTGAGGAAATCTTCTTCCACTATTCAAAGTTATTAAAGGTATGCGATTTTAAAACTAAGTACAGTGGTCCGCTGACTTGAAGTCCCGCGAGACGGCACAGGGGCAAGGGGAGTCGGACCGCCCATTTATCTGTCTCGCTCCCTTGCTCTCAGGCAGTCCACATGTGTGTGTAACTGCCGCGACGAATAGCGAGCTAGAGACCAATGTGTGCGTGGGAATACGTGTGCCCCTTCTACTTCTCCCGCATTCCTTCCGCAGGACTTCAAGTGAGCGGAGGACAGTACTGTGGCGCTGCTTTTGCCGCGGGTAGAGGATCTCGTGAGAATTCCGTAGGAGGGCAGAAAAGGAAAGGAGGGGGCGCGTTTCGTTCGGGCCTGCCAGTGGACTCATCAGTAAGGCTTTCTAGCAGGCCCTGCCTTAGACGACTGGGATATTGGGAAGTCGTTCGAGGAGTGTATATATAGCAACGGAGGGGTCGGTCGAGCACTTGTGAGAGCGCGACCCCTCTGGTGGCGAGCATGGGAGGCGACGCCACAGTACGTATATTCATTTAACGTAGAAAAAATGAAACAGTAGGGTATTTAAGCAAATATACGACTAGAGAAATGATGGAATAGAAACTGCTCCATAATTGTTTTTGCGTATATTAGGTAAAAATATTTTTTAAATATTAATAAACTAATAGTTTTTCATTGTCGTTTAGTTAGAAATTGAAAAAAAAATTAATATAATAAAAAAAAATGTACCTTAGTAAGGTGCGAACGCGCGTCAAAAAGTTTGCCGCAGTCTCGCAGCCAAGCATCTTTCACTGCACCATCGCAGCTCTTGGAAATAATGCTGATACTTCTGAATACAACGCGCATAGCACGTTTTTTTTCTTGACTTATTTTTGCTTTTCTTCTTGTATACACTGTTTTACTCAACATGGAAATGTTTAAAACCACAGAATATAGTTATCTATTAAAGGGAATACAAAAATTCAAAGTACAGTGGTGCCTCGCATAAAGAACGCCTCGCACAGCGAACGCTGCACACAGCGAACTTCCTATTCGTTCATTTCATGATTCATACAACGAACTTCGCTTCACACAACGAAGTCGCCCGAGCTTCCACGATCGCTGCCGATGTATTGCATCCTCCCGCGCAGGCACTGCAGTCGTTAGTCACTGCGCTTGACTTACGCACGTATCGCGGCAGTCGTCCTTTTAAGTTAAACTCAATATTTTTTTTATATCATGGGTTCTAAAAAAAGCAGGAAGGTGATTTCTGTTGAAATGAAACAGGAAATAATTAGAAAGAGTGAATGTGGAGTAAAACAGTGTGACCTCGTCAAAGAGTTTGGCCTAAGCAAGACCACCATTTTCACCATTTTGACAAATAAGGATGCAATCAAATCAGCCAAAGTAGCCAAAGGAGTATCAAAACTATTTAATGAAAAACATAGGTCTTCAATCCACGAGGAATTGGAGAAGCTATTAGCGATTTGGATTAAGGACAGGCAGGTGAAAGGTGACGTAACAACCCAAGATATTATCTGTCACAAAGCCAAGATAATTTATGACGATCTAAAGAAAAACGTCCCTGGAAGTAGCAGCAATCAAGATAATGAAGAAGAATTTAAAGCCAGCAGGGGGTGGTTTTTTAGATTTAAGAAAAGGTGTGGAATCCACAGCGTTACTATGCATGGTGAGGCTGGCAGTGCTGACAAGAAAGAAGCAGAAAAGTTCTCTATTAACTTTCAAAAATGTATTAAGGATGAAGGATACTGCCCACAACAAGTGTTCAATGCCGATGAAACGGGTCTTTTCTGGAAAAGAATGCCGAGCAGAACCTTCATTACAAAAGAGGAGAAGAAATTGCCAGGACACAAAGCCATGAAGGACAGACTTACCCTTATGTTTTCGTCTAATGCCAGCGGAGACCTCAAGATCAAACCTCTATTGGTTTATCACTCTAAAAATCCAAGAATTTTTAAGCAAAATAACGTTATTAAGTCCAAACTGCCCGTCCATTGGAAGCCCAATCAAAAAGCCTGGGTGACCCAAGTTATCTTCAACGAATGGATTCTGGAAACCTTTGCTCCTGCCGTGAAGAAATTCTTGCTGGAAAAAGAACTGCCGCTCAAAGCCCTTCTGATACTTGACAATGCCCCTTCTCACCCAAAAGAACTAGAGGAAATATTGCAGGAAAATTATCCATTTATCAGGGTGCAGTATTTGCCACCAAACACCACATCCATTCTTCAGCCAATGGATCAGCAAGTTATTGCGAACTTTAAAAAACTCTACACTAGAGCCCTCTTTAATAAGGTGTTTGAAGAATGCGAGTTTGGTGGAGACAATATGACTGTCCGAAAATTTTGGAAGAAGAAATTTGATATCCTTATGGTAATACGATTTATACAGAAGGCCTGGGAAGAAGTGTCACAAAGGACCCTCATTTCTGCTTGGAAGATGCTTGTGCCTTCGTGGACCCAGGAAGAAGCAGTTGTTGATGACACAGAAGTGGTGAAGGACATCATCACAGTGGCCCAAAGGCTGGAATTAGAGGTAGAGGAAGAGGATGTAGAGGAGCTTATTGAGGAACACGAAGAAGAGCTGACAACTGAAGAGCTCCAAGCACTTCTGGTCCTGCAACAGGACAATGCTCAAAGGGAAGCGTCATCTGATAACGAGGATCAACAATCAAACAATCAACCAATCCCAACTGCTGACATCAAGAACATCCTGGTCAAATGGAAAGCAGTTCAGGAGTTTACCAATGCCCACTATCCGGATTCAGCTGAAGCAAACAGGATCAACGATCTTTACTCCGATACTCTTGTCCGTTATTTCCGGCAGATGTTGAAGAAAAGAGAAAAACAAACGACTTTGGACAGGTTTTTCATGAAACCATCGGCCAAAAAGCAGAAAATGGATGAAGATGTGCAAGATTCGGTAGACTCTACTTAGTCTGTCTTAAAATTAAAAAAATTATGTTTTTAGATGTATGTATCTAAATAAAAATAATAACAAAAAATTTATCTTTTTTTATGTCATCTTAGCATATTTTATGCTACAGAACGAATTATTTTTTTTAACATGTATTTATATAGGAAAACGCGTTTCACATAACGAACTTTTCGCATTACGAACTTGCTCCTGGAACGAATTAAGTTCGTTGTGTGAGGCACCACTGTATAAGTTGCTTTTTCACGCGAAAAACGCCGAAAAAATCGGTTTTTCATTTTTGCTACTACGGCGCACCCTGCCAAAAAATCTGAAAAAATTCAGGGACATAACCAATGACAATATGCATTTACAGTAATTATATAAATCTAGTGTCTCGAAAGCTTCAATACGAAATCGGTATTTTTTCTGCGTTTCTTTGCGTTTTTAATTTTTCACACATAGGATTTGAAATCGAAAAATCGGAAAAAATTCTCAAACACGTATCTCTATAGTCACAATGCGCCAGATTTTTTTCATAATTTTCATACTCGATTAAATAGGGGAAATAGGCACAAATTCGCTAATCCGAAATTTCCCAATAACTACCCTTCCGAACATGATAGAGGGTTCAAATTTGGTACAGAATGTTTTTTTCTGATGCTCTATCGATGGATCCATCGTATTTTGGTTCAAGGGCACATTTGACCCCCTTATTCGGCTATACCCTTTGGTTCAAGGGCACATTTGACCCCCTTATTCGGCTATACCCTTTAGCTTGTGTGTGTTAAAGAGTGTATCGTCATCCTGTGAGATGCCGCGCAAGCGACGCGCGACATTATTGAAAAACAAAAACGTGCAGCAATTCACAAAACAATTGACGGTGAGAGGTGAGGATATTTGGTTTTACATGCCATCAAGTTTGCATAAAATTCTATTTCATGGTGCAGACATAATAAAGTGTGCTGGTTTACCAATTTCAATGTTTTCAGAAGAGGCAATGGAGGCAAGAAATAAAGATTTTAGAAATATCAGAAACGATCACGCGAGAAAATTTTCACGACTAGAAACAATGACAGACCTTTTTCACACGTTATTGTATACATCCGACATTTTAATATCCTCAATTTCGGCGGAAAACCGCAAAATTGGTAAAAAACATACACGTTTTGATATTTTCAATGACGAAATTGAAAGATTAATGTTAAAAGAAGACCTCCAAGACGATGATGATTCTTCATAGACAATAAATTTTAGATAAATAAATTAATCATTTGTTTGAACAGCCTGAACAGCTAGTTTTCAATTATTGTTCATTATTTACATGTCATCGCTATTTTTTAGGCATTTCTGATGCTCTGACAAAAAATGTTTCCAACCAAAAATTAATCACCGCTTACTCTTCTACAAATCCCAATATGAAAAATCAAAAGAATTTTTTTTTAATAAAACCTTAAGGTGACCTTGATTTTGTAATTGTCACAATATATTTTTTACTTAATAATGTTATAGCTGACGTCAAGACAAATTCAACGACCTATATATTACGGTCTTTAAGTCTTGAAATAACGTTAAAATAGTTGTAAACAGCTAATTCTTCGATCTGGCCCACTGTGAGACGGTTGCGCGATGGCCCGGCAATAACAAAGGCGAGCGTCGCGTTTTCAAAATACTGGCCAAATGACGAGTGAACGATCACGAGGATAAGAGTGAGAGAGAGAGAGAGAGAGAGTGAATGAGTGAGTGAGATAGCGGAAGGTGCGATAACCCCTGGGAACGCGACAATAGGATATAAGAAGCGAAACAGCTGACGAGACACAGAGTCTTTTCAAGAGTGTATCACCGAGCAATAAATAGTTTGATTATATCGTTTACCGACGGAATAAAGTTTTTTGTATCACCGCATCCTCTTAATACTAAATCCCACATATATATAGAGATTAATTTTTTGTATAACTTTTTCTTAAATTTAAAGATTTTATTGAATGTTATTTAAATATTGAATTCATATTTTTGAAATATTGGATTCACATTTTTGAAATATTTACTTTATATTTTTTAAATATCTAGTGTTTAAATATCGCGTTAATTCGACGTGCAAGAATAGTAGAATATTATTCGTCACCCGGTATTGTTTTTCTGCGTATGTAACATACTCGAGAATGTTCGGCTCTCATGTCCGCTACGCGTAAACAAGACCGGATACAAAAACGGTCACATACGAATTTCTTCGAAACATCACGCGATCGACCAAACTACGCAGAATTTCAAGCTAACGTTTCGAAACGCGTAAGATAGAAAAGGAAAGACAATCGAAAGATAGACAAAGACAAACTCAAATTCGGCTACAGCGCCGCCAGTCGGAAATCGCTCTCCGAATTTGACTCTCCTTGTTAAGCGAATCACTCTTGATTGGGAAACGGCCGAGAGCAGATGGGCATACGATCCCGCTCCTCCGTATATCCCAAGTAGAACGAATAGTGTCGAGCTTGTCGTTCTTTCGAGCCAGTTAAGAACGTGGTGAAGAAGGTGAAGTGCAAGAACGGATTGGGGTCCGATCCGGTAACGCCAATACTTCCGCTACACGTTTTAGCTGGAGTTAAAAAGAGTCGGAAACGCAAGGAAGTGCAGTACATAAACGGATTGGGATACCATTCGGTACCAACGACACTTCCGTTTATAAAGAGGAATCTCGTGGGTTATTTCCGAAAGTTTCTAGTTCAGCTGTGGGTAAAACCCACCTAAGACTGAAAAAAGATACGTATCGTTGGACCGATCGGTCGTATCCGAAGTTTCGAGTTTGACCTTCGAACCTCCCTTGACTGTCGAACGGTTAAAACCCCACCTAGACGGGCCTTCGTGGTGTATTCCGTGGGTGGACTTGCCGCCCTCCAGTCGGTGTTAGGAATTTTTAATTACGTGTCCAGCATCAGGCGACCTGCTGAAGCGGTATTTCGAAAATACGCCAACGTGTGCGTGGAATACCGCTCAATAGCAACAGTGGGAAACGTACGCTATTCGTAAGTCGTTGCGAACGCAGACAAGGTACAGTCCCACACCGTACACGTACGGATTACGAGGACGGTAAGAAACCGAGGATTCGACAACATTTGGAGCCTTACAACCTCCATCTGTTGCCCTTTCCTACGACGGTCGAGATCACGCAGTATAGGAAGAATCGAGGCATAATCTCGTCTTCCTCAGAACTGCAATCATACGTTTCCTGATTTAAAGGGAACATAAATAAATACAGTCCACCTGTTTCGCCGCGTAACGCAGCGGCAGAGAATCCCCGCTCCTGAGTGCGACAAGCACAGCTAGGAGCGCGAGAACTTCAGAACGAGACGGAAAACGTGACTAACGTTACCGTGTATTTACACCAAGTTCCGTCCTTTTTGTTACAGAGAAGAGTGACGCCAGCCGACGACTCGTCGAAGGAGAGGCGGATTACCGCGCCAGGCGACGAGACAATTCATTTTAATTTAATTTTTCAATTGTTCAAAGCGGCAAACGGCCAAAAATTCTATTTTTCTTTCTGTAAAATTTTGTTCTGAATTATTTTATTTTTTTTATTATTACAAGTTTTCGTTACGTTTCGTTTGTTTTGTTTTATTTCTTTTTTCAATAAACGGCGTCGTCGAAGATCGACGACGCGAAAATATAATTAAAACAAACGACTTACTTTTCCTACGTCCTACTCCTTCGTAATCCGGACACCCGTTAGACGAGGTTCTCAAATAAATATTTGAGCCCTCCAAATTCTAACATCTAGTTTATATCCCCTGAATATTTACTTTATATTTTTTAAATATCTCGTTTATATTCTCTGAATATTTAGCTTACATTTTTTAAACATTCAATTTATATTTTTTGTACATGTATACAATATTCAGATCCAATATTTTTCTCATACGAAAAAATGTGGCTTTAAAAATATTTTTGCAATATTTGAAAAAAATATTTATCTAATATTTTTATGCTACTAGGGTCCGGAATCTAGATACGTACATATATGTTTAAAAACAATAGACAGCGTCCTAACAACCGCTACAGCAAGGCGTGATTGCTAATAAATGTTTGTCGTTATACGAATATCGTATTGAATATATCTCATAATATCCAATAGGTTATGGGCCCAGGACACTTGTAATTAATATATATATAAAATTAATATAGTAGTATAACGTATACATATATAAATATATATAAAAGTAATATAGTGGTGTAAGTTATATTGAAGACTATAAAAAAAATGGAAAGTAAGCTAACAAAACGTAATGTGCAACCGTTCGATAGTGACAAATATACTGTGTGGAAGTTCCGAGTGAAATCTTTACTTGCTGAAATTAATAATGTGCAAGAAGTAGTGGATAAGGATCCTCCCGATCAGATTACTGATGAGTGGCGTAAAAAGGACTCTATCGCGAAAAGCGTAATCGTAGAATATTTGAGTGACTCGTTCCTTAGTTTTGCAAAAGACAATGCAACAGCAAAAGATATTTTTCGAAACTTGGATGCTATTTAAGAAAAACGTAGTTTAGCAACTCAATTAGCTTTACGAAAGCAACTACTAAGTATAAAAATGCAAGGTGAAATCACTCTCTTGCAGCATTTAACTAAATTTGACGCGATAATTGGTGATTTAATAGCAGCTGGCGCTTCACTAGATGAAATGGACAAGATTTCTCATTTACTTTTAACATTACCCAGTATATATGGCGTTTGTGAAAATGCGACTCTTGGACTATGAAGTTAAAATGTGCACAGAAGAACGAACTACCACCCTTAAAGTTCTACATACAAGTGGAATTTCGCCAAAACCAGGATCTAGTGGCTGCAGAGCGACAAAAAAGAAGTGGAAACCACGTAAACATTTTAAGAAACAACAACAAGAAAGATCAAACCCACCACCGAAAAAGATAGATCATTATAAATCTCAATATAAATTATCCAGAATGACTTGCGGGCATTGTGGGCGTCATAATCATGAAAAATCAGATTGTTATTACTATAAAAGGATGACT